ATCAACAATATCAACATTATTGGGATTATAAACTTTTCACTACAGATTAATAATAAGCAAAAAAATAAACTTGCTTACATATTTTAAAACCTTCAAACTATTACATAAGTTAGCTTTATAATATTATTCATTTTTGGTGAAGTGAGTTTTATTATAACTTTTTTATTTTATTTTTAAAGGATAAAAAAAAAAAAATATATATATATATATAGGGAGTAGGGATGACAAAAATACCTGTACCCGCGGGTATCTGCGAGTAAAACCCGCTACGGATAATAAATAAATAGGTTAATTGGGTACCCGCGAAAAATGAGGACGGATAATTTTTTACCCGTTTATAAACGGGGCGGGGGCGAGTATGATGATATTCATACCCGCAGATATCCGTTTAATAATATTTCTTAAATATCCTAATTATCCTTGTACCACATAACCCTAAAACTACACTCTCTCATCTTATTTTCTTACAAAAGTGAGGTTGTTGAAGTTACCAACATGTGTTAAGCATGTTATAGAATTATGTTGGATGTAATTTGATTAATTTTCTATCTTTGATTGGGCCAATAAAATTTATGTATTTTTAGTTGTTTACTTTCGTTTAGAATTATGATATTGAATAATTGTAGCTATGTAACATGAGACTTTCACTTACTTATGAGATTGATGTATTTTAAGTTATTGATTATCTTGCATTTTTATTATTATTTTAACAAAATTAACGTTAAATACAAGTTCAAAATTAACATTTATTTTTTTTAATATTTCAATGACATTAAATATAAACTTAAAATTATTTGTAATATAATTTTTTTAATTTCTTAAAAATTTATAAATATCTATGGATATTCGTGAGTATTCAAAAAATTCATGGATACCCGTTTAATAGATACCCGCACGGATATGGGGTTGGTATGAGTCAATTTTCATCTAGTGGGGCGGGGACGAGTTTATTATTACCCGCCCTCATGAGACCCCATTGCCATCCCAAATAAGGAGCATATTAAGTGAGAGAAAATTTATTACGAGAGATGAAAAGGTTAAAATATAATAAGTCCCCTCCTCTATATATATATATATATATAAGTCTTCAAAGGGAATAAATAACAATGGAGTATTTTTCTCCCTAAACTTCACGAAACAAGGCTGGTAAAGGGATTCGTGTGAATGAATTTTGTTGAGCCTCGTTAATGTCATATGAAATTGTAGACTTCCCTTCAAGCGGATTTAAGGGGTTTTCAATGTATGAAAAGGGCCTTTTGCATGAAATATGAACTTCTCCATAAATATTTATGGGAGACAATTTTTTTATAAATTAATTTCTAAAAAAAGTTTATATCAAAATTTCAAATTTTTTTAAATTTATGTGTAAATTAAACATAAATTAATTTTAATTTATAAATTTTCCATACATTTATTCCTAAAAAAAATTATCCAAACAAGTATTAGGTATTAACAGTCTTAGAGGGATACCTTGACACCTGTTCAATTAACAAATTCCTTTCATGATTGTGTTGAAGATTTTTATGTGATCTACTTTAACGTGTCTCATATCATTTCCAATCGATTTTTGAAATGTTACAACGATAGTTTTCTCTTTTGGCATAACCAAGACCGATGACAAATGATAAGGATAACTACTAAGATACTCCAACATTCCAATTAAAAATATTAGTTATGTTTTTCGTCATTAATTAAATTTGACGTTGTGAGATTGTGCCTTATTCAGAAAGGGCCATCCCAATTGGGGGCCAGCTTTTCTTGAGCTTTTTCTCTTCTTACTTCTCCCACTACTCTCTAGACAAGGTCGCCTGGGTGGAATTCTCGTGGCTTGATTTTAGTCCTGTGCTTTCGGGAAACTCGTGCTCTACAGACTTCCATGTTGATGAATGCCCGACCACGTGCTTCCTCAATCAAGTCGAGTTCTATGTTGAGTGCTTCAGTGTTGGCTTCTTCAGTGAATTATTTTCGTTTGAGAGAGGGTTCCCCTATCTCCAGCAGGATCATGGCATCGGTTCCGTATGCTAACCGAAAGGGTGTTTCCTTGGTCGAGCTCTGTGGAGTGCATCTATAGGCTCACAAAATTTCATGCAAGTGGTCAGGCCATTGTCCCTTAGCTTGTCCGAGACGTCTTTTTAACTCTTTGAGAATAACTTTGTTAGCTGCCTCTGCCTGCCCGTCCGATTGGGGATGCTCCACCGATGTCACCCGGTGTTTGATCTGAAGTCCTTTGAGGAATTCGTTGAAACGACGATCCTTGAATTGTAGGTCGTTGTCTGTAATGAGGGCGTATACCTCGAACCGGGTAATAACGTTCTTCCAAAAGAATTTTTGCATTGTTTGCTGAAATAGTGGCAACTGCTTCTGCCTCGATCCACTTGGTGAAATGGTCGACTGCCACTATGAGGAACTTGACTTGGCCCTTTGCTGGTGGGAATGGCCCTAGGATATCCATACCCCATACGGAGAAGGGTCAGGGGGTCATGATGAATTGTAGGCATTCGGCTGGCAAGTTTGTTAACGGGTCGTGTTGCTGGCATGGTTGGCATTGTTGCACGAACTTGGTACAATCAACCGTTAGAGTTGGCCAATAATACCCAATTCGGATAACCTTTGCTGCAAGAGTTCGTCCCCCCTAGTGAGTTCCGCATATGACTTCGTGGATTTCTTAGAGGACATAATGCGCTTGTTCGAGTGTTAAGCATTTGAGAAGGGGTGACGAGATGCCCCGTTTATATAGCTCTCCAGCTATTAAGGTGTATCGCGCGGCCATGGTTCTCATTTTCTTGACTTCAAGGGGGTCTTCGGGTAGCTCTCCAGTCAAAAGGTGGTTAACTATACCATTCATCCAGCATGGGTTTCCTTGCTGAACCTGCAAGCATTCGGCTTCCACAATGCTTGGGTTTTGCAGTTCTTACTCATGCTACACAAATGGCTAGTCTTTTTGCTGCTCGCTAGCTTGGCCAGCTGGTTGGCTCTCGCGTTAAGTTCCCGGGGTGTGTGCTCAACGTGAACGTCGTTGAACTTGTTCTTCAGCTTCTGAAAGGCATGAAAGTACAAGAGTAGTGTTGGCTCTTTGATTTGGAAGGTGCCGTTGACCTGTCTTGTTACCACTTGCGAGTCACTCCAACACTTGACTCTCTTGATGCCTAGGTCATCTGCCAATCGTAGACCAGCGAGAAGGGCCTCGTACTCAGCTTGGTTGTTGGAAGTCTTAAAGTCGAATCGTAGTGACTGCTTGACCACCACTTTACCCGGACCTTCGAGTATAATGTCGACTCCACTACCTTGTTGATTTGATGACCCGTCTACGTGCAGGGTCCATACGTGCGGCTCGGGGAGTACCTCCGAGGTGAATTCGTTTATGAAGTCGGCCATGCTCTGTGCCTTGATGGGTCCCCTTGGTTCAAAGCGGATATCGAATTGCGATAGCTCTATGGACCAAGCAACCATTCGACCGACCAGTTCAAGCTTCTGCAAGACCTTAACAATCGGTGGCGGCCGACTCTAAAGCCGTCAATTGCAATTTCCCCACCCCGTGAAATCTAGCCGGGGCTGGCCGCCAATAGAAGGGAAACTTCGGCAACCCGCCGAAATAGAACGCCCCATCCTCCAACGGGTTGACACCCACCAGCACCACCCGAAAAAATTCTTGTTTGAAATTTTTATATGACTAGGAGTAAAGGGAAAACAGACCCCCATCCTTACTCCCACTCAGAGACAGTAAGCCATAAGGGGGAACCCCTATTTTCAACTGGTAGAAGTGGATAAAAACGGGAAGAGACACCTCTATTCCTAGGGCTGAACACAGAACTTGAAAAGCCCGCAAAAAACACCAACTATTGGGGTGCAACTGGCAAGGTGCCGAGTTGATGAAATTTAAAAAATCGCACTCAAACTGAGAAAAGGGAAGGCGCACTCCCAAATCCCTAAACAGACACTGATACACGTAAAAGAAAGGAGGGTCAGAAGGTCCCCCCATATAGACACGCTCGTCGGGACGACAAGGCTCAA